GTCAGAGACATGTTGAATCTGCACAATATGTGCTGCACCAATAATCTGAATGTGTGTCATGAACCCTTATGGAAAATTTCCAGATGGTCCTGCTACTTTTATAGAAATCTTGGACAAATGCTGTGAAGCCACTACTATTGCAGTTATCCCTATTCCCTTCTATCAAACACAAAACAAAAACCACGAAATCTTTCACAAATCCTTCACAAAACAAAAACCACAAAAACACAACCAACCAAACAACAACCACAAAAAAAGAAAAAATCCCCTCAGTTTCCCACTTCTTTTTCTGTGTATTTCCAAGTATATTGAAGGCATCACACAGAGAAGGAACATTCTTGTTTTTCTTGTTTCTTAGTTTCTTTTTCCAGTTATTGCAACTTTTTTGCTAGTGCGATCTTCTTGATCTGTGCACTGTACAAGATCAGTGATTTCTGGATTTGCTGTTAATGCCATGCCATTTGTCTACTAGCCTCAGACAGCTCATCTCAAAGTATTCCTCTGAGAAAAAAGGTTCATGCATTTATTACCCAAATAGTCATTTCCAGAACTAGTGAACCTCTTTCCTCATTTCTGAGACACATATTTTCTATCTCCTGTGTGTTTCGCACTTGAAACAGTTCTGTGTAGAGAAGTGAGAAAACAGCGATGGTATTAGTGAAAGCTGTACCACTTAGATACTTGTGAACTCTGGAGTAGGTTATTCAACCATTTTTAAATTAAAATTAATGTTTATATTAAATGTTCTACCAGTTCATGATCTCCATCTTTACCAGAAAAGGGGAATGGCGTTACCCAGGCACAGATAAAGTCTAAAAGTTACTCTCGTTAATATTCATAGTATGAAATTATTTTTGGTGCCTTTCATGTCCAGATTTCTAGATGAAGACTATGAAAAGAACCTTAATCATGTTTGATATGCAGTATCAATTAAACAATTATCAGCATCATGTTGAGAGAGCTGGGCTGATATTCCTGAGCTCTCTCTAGAGCTGGGAATATATTATCCAATACAGAGGTGTTCAGAAAATTCAGCATCCAAACCACACCCATTCATATGTTGTACAAAGTACCATTTGTTGCATGGGAGCAAACTGTCTCTGCAGCAAAATTTGGACTGAACATGTCTGGGCAGAATCTGAGAAGTGTCAGAGTAACACTGAATGATCCAGACTGGAAGGGATCTGAGGTCTTGTGGTTCAAGGCTCCTTAAAGCAGGGCTATCTGAACATCTGATTGCATTTCTAGACCAATGTCTAAAGCCTTCTAAATCAATCCAGAAGAAATCTACAAGAGGAAAGAAGCTGTGTCTAGGCAACTCCGATCTACAAAGCCATTACAAGAGAAAATGGCAGAAAATATTAGTGATAAACAACAAAGCTAATATTGCAGAAGTGAGTGCCTGAATTTAGCTAATGATTTTAAAGTAGTTTAGAGCCTAATAAACTTTGATCACTCTGGTAGGGATTTTCTGTGAAGAGCACAATCAGTCCTGCAGTCAATCCATTAGTTAAACTATCTTGGTACTTGTGAAGAATGTTATTTACATTTCTGTAGGTTTTTTCAGGGAGAGAACAGGGGCTGTATGGAAAGAGACAGACTGTATGAAAGGAGTTAATGTAAATATTTGAAGGAGGACTGTCTTTTTTTCAGCAGTCTAAAGCACAGTCTATAATTAATCTGCTGTTACTTGAACAGGTAAATGTAACAAGTGCTTATATTAAGGTGGCAAAAAGTTTGCATTTAACTTTGCTGAGTATATGATTGTGAGAAATTCTGCTTTTAGGCCTAGCTGTTCATGAATAACCACTGTCCACAGTACTTTTTCATTTGAAGACAGAAGTGAAACTATTCTTACTAAATGCTGTTTGTGAGGGAAGTTTTTTCAGTGTAAACATTGGGAAAAAACATACTATTTAATGCTACCTTTTTACTTCAAAACCAGCTGAAATAGAGAAATGTTATGTGCACATTTTAATCAAGGGATAAATATTAGTTGGACAATACAAGAAGGAATGAGAATTTCTGTGACAATAATTTAGAAACTGCAAAGGAAAAACAAAAAAGCAAAACTCAAAGCCAAAGTCCAACCTGTCAGAGTGCAGAACAGCTGAACAGAAAATGCAAAATGTCTGCACATAGGATTCAGGAAATATGTGTTCCCAAGGGAACAATACCAGTGAACCATAGTTCAGGTTGGCTGGTGAAATGCTCTTCTGCTGCTTTCTGCTGCCTACACTATTCTCGGCTCAAAATTCTGGCACATACTATCTCAGCTTTCCATTGCTGACCTCATTGCACCATTCATTCAAGTGGGACAAGCCTTGTAACTCCAAAATATGTAGCAGCATTCAAAAGAAACTGAACTTCAACCTACACAGTAAGTTTCTGCTTGGTAGACTCATACACCTGGCTCTGCTCAAGGGGGGTCAGCATTACAGCAGTAGGGCTGCTGTAATTACATGTATTCTGCTGCATGTCATTACAGCAGCAGAATTGCTGTCATGCAAGGCAGGATGTGGCCCCTTATTTTTTTTCCCTGATGTTGGGGTTTTTCTCAAACCCCATGCCCCACAACTTTGCAGCATTATTGTTTCATGGATACATTATTTCCATCAAGTACTGCCAGTCCTGACATTGATAGGCAGGGAATCAATACTTTTATAGAATCACAAAGCCAAACTAGTTCTGCAGATCCATGATGTGCAGTATGTGGTTTTTCATTCTGAATGTAATAACTGCAATTTGAAATACACCCCCACAAGCATTGATTGCATGCTTTAAGAACTTTACAATAAAGAATTGAATTAAGAAAGAAGAAACTGAATCACTTCATTTTAAAAAGAAAAATTCACTTGATGTGTTTTTTTCGTTTGCTAGCTATAATAGCAATAACCATCTTCAGCTGAGGACATTTCCTGGGGCTTAATGGCCCATGGCTGTGCTTCTTCAGGTGATCACATCTCCCAGTAGTCATTAATCCCCTACAAATGACCTGCACCACAGTCATTCAATGTGCTTCTTCTGAAAGTGAAATACTTCTGTATTTAATGCATCTTCCAGGAATAGGAGGGATCTTTCTGAGGTGAGGAATGAAAAAAGTTTAGTGATGTGTCAGAGAAGTATTAATTATCACAAGTGGATAAGATCCGATTCTAGAGTTAGCACGACAAAGAATTTTTCTATGCTAAGATCATGCTATTTATAAGTCAATATTTTTACATGTCACTATTCAAACTTATCCCAATTGCATAACAGTAAAATAAAAAAAATACAGATAGTTATCTGTAGTTGTTTTCCTTCTATGAGGCATCTCAGCATAGAAATAAAGTATCTCACAAAATAGAGTATGTGCCTGCAGCACTACTTAAAAATACTTTCTGTTCCATAGCTGTAAAAAATAGTTATGCAGTTTTACAAGGTGTTCGTGATAATGCAAGAAAACAAAGAAGTTGAATCTTTTGTACTTAAAGGTCTGAGACTCTTGTAAGTACGTCTTTTAGTAAGAATTTTATGGATCTTTCTTACAAATGGGACCACAAATACAGTCATTATATGTTCTGACAACCTTTCCTTGCTCAAGTAGCATTAAACTTTCAATTAAAGTACTTGAAGGGGATTTGTCTTGATAGAGGTTGAATGAGGATTGGGTATTTTTTTTTTTTTTTTAATTGGAATTCTACTTACTGATACACTGTGCTATTTTTATATTTCTATCCTGTGCTACTAAGTATGTAATACATACACTAGGTGAAGCCTCTACCAGTGTCAAACAGGTTCTGAGAGGGATTAGATCTGATCCCATCACTTTAGCTTTAATGAGTGCAAAATGAGAACCTTTTAGGTATTACGGTCATTTTTTATTTATATTGGACATTCAGATCTTATGTACTGTAGTGAGTGATTGTGTAGATGAGGACAGAAGTAGATTTTTGGGCCACACATTGTTAAATGTTGAATGTTAAACTATGTTACTGTTAAAATTGAAGCTCTCCTAGTCAGCACATTTTGATTGTGGAGTACCCTGAAAAAATAAGTATTAGAACCAGACCCGAATGTTCCTTTTCTTTTTCCCTTCAAGCAAACAAAAAATCACCTGAACAAAATACTTTTCAGTATAAACTGAATGTTTTAACTTACAGTAGGAAAATTCATTTACTTCAGTAACCCATAACAATAGCCTTAACATTGCAATTCTCTAAATTAGAGAATTTTTCTGTGTGAAAGACAAAGGTTTCTTTCAGAAAATTTAAAATACAAAATTTCCCATATGTATGTGTGCACACACTTTATATTGTGTTTTCTTTCTTGTTTTTTTTGGACAAAGCTATAACCTGAATTAGACTTTCCCCTTCAAGTATCCCTACTCAAACCAAAGCAGTTGTCAGCAAATAAACTAATTTTAAAAAAAATCTTATATCTCTCATTAAAATTCAGATTACTGATGCACAGAGCCAAAGACAAGATAAAGATTATTACGTCTTTAAATTGTTTCCAATCTAGTTTATATCTCACCATAAAGAGCAGGTTAGTGAGTAAATACTGATCTACTGTACTGCAGCTAGAATGGTTCTTTTGCCATAGATTCTTTTTAAGGCTTCTTCAGGTATTTATACCTACCGTGCAATTTGCAATGTCAGCATTCTTCAGACCATTTGCCAAAAGCCCAGTTATTATTGTCCTGTCTTCTTATATTTGATTCTGAGTACTCCAAATCCAAACTCGGTTGCAAAATAGGGAGGATCATGCAGACTTTGCCAGTTACCTTGTTTTGGTACCATTCAGAAAGAATTCAGAAATTTCAGACAGGAAGATATGTGGTAAAGAGTAATAGAGAAAAGAAAACATACCTTCCTAAAGAGAACTTATCAGTATGCCTAGAATTTCTCACAGTTTTTCTACTCAAGATCTCTATGTTTTTATCCATTCACTATATTTACAGGCAAATATAATTTAAAAAATCTTACATAGTATTTCTGATTTTAAATTCTGTGTTCCAGGTCTTGTTTTCCCTCTGTGCCGCATTTTGGGGAATCCAGATTATGAAGCGGATCACTTCATCCAAAGATAAACATCACTGAAAGAGCAGATGTAACATCATTTTAATTACAGAAACAGCACTTTGGAATTCTAACAGTTCCTTGGAATTAATCAACCATGAATCCTACTCAATTAAAATAATTTCACTTATGATAGGAGAGGTTTTGATTTTATATGATGGTTTGAGAGATTCATTAGGATGCATATTCTTTGTATTTGATTTAAAAAGATATTTCATCCCAAATAAAATGAATTGTTCATTCACAACCTGTATCTTTACATTCAAGGGATTACAAAGTCTTCAAAACCACATGTGAAAAGTATTTTTCACAATAGGAATAATTAAAATCATATTTGTTGTAACCTGATATAAAGCGACTGACTGTCTTCCTATTGAGGCTAAGCGTAAACATATGTGAATGTCAGTTTTTCCGTAATGATTGAATTACACTAGAATCTCAATGTCATGCCCAATTCAGTGTTCATAACATACAGTTACATGAGAATGAGAAGTCGAGGCAAGAAAATTATTAAAAACAGCATGATAAAATAACTTGAACTCGTATGAATTGAAACATCTTCAATAAAATTGGCTAATGTATGTGCTGTATAATGCAGGCTTGCAGTTTAGATTGAATTATTTAAGGATTACACCCTACAGTTGCCAACTTTAGATACTGATCAAGCCAGCACGTACACATGGGTATCCCATTGACTAATGTTACTCACGTGACCAAATATTTGCAAGGCTAGGCTCTTAATATCTGGTGATTTCCTGTTGGGGTGGTCTCAGGGGAGATACACATCTTGTCTTTCAGGAGCTGTTGGAAAGATGGTTTGTACTAGGATAGGAAAATTAAATACAAATGGTAAAGGGAGTCTCCAAACAGCAGGACTGGCAAAAATACTGGAGCTAGGTTGTTTTTCTTTCCTCACGCTCTTCAAACTTTTTTTTTGGCTCCAAGACTTTTAGAAATGCTTAAAGTCAAGTAGCTAGCTCTTCCAACTTTTTTTTTAGCTCCAAGACTTTTAGAAATGCTTAAAGTCAAGTAGCTAAAAATCTGTAGGCTATTTTGTGTGCTTCAAAATAGTAATAATACCTGGATTTAAAAAGTGGGTTTAAGTTTGTGTTGGGATTTTTTTCTATTCCATTTTCCTTGAAGTTGTTAATGACAGGCTAACAGAAATCTCAGATTTAGATAGATAGCCTACTTTTAATTAACCTGTATCTTTCAGTCTGTAGCTGTAACAGGTGCCACTGTCTGTATAATTGTATGTTTCTAATAAATTGTCAGAAACACAATAATGTTACATAAATAATATTGTTCCAATGTCCAGTGATAGTATCACTTTAGTAGTTTTGTGGGTTTTTTTGCTTTAAACCCCAAGTTTTAAGTTACTCCATTTGTTTATCACATGCCTTGTGCCTAACACTTCAGATTATGCCCAAAGACCATAAAATATTCAGCTGAGAAAGCAGGTGTTAATTTTATTAGAGGTACTAATACCTGAGATGCAAAGTAAGGATAATACCTTCTAAAACTGACAGTGTGTTTAAATAAGGGACTTACTTATGAATCTTCTTCACTTTCCATAATGAGAAGATGAAAAAAATAGCCCATGAAAAACCTAGAAGAATCAGACTATATGTACCTGTTTAGAAGTTTAATTCAAACTTTGATTCATAGTAAGGTAGGCTTCTGGTGTCTTTTTAAGAAATGGATATATACAATCACATACCTCTGAGTTCAAGAGTGGAAATATATTCTCTTAACTAACACATCAGTGCCACAGGCTGAAGCTTTCTCTGGTACTAGTAGTTCTTACCATTTCTTTGCCTGAATTTCCCCATAAATGGAATGGGGGTGATGGCAATACTGATGGTGTCTTTCACCATAATCAAAGTATTGCATCTAAGATCTTTTCCATACAAAGCTATTCTAGGATATTTAACAGAATGACAGAATCTGATTTCCTAAGTACAACACAATCTACAAACTTCTTATGTGACCCCTTAAGTTAGTGTACCTATATTTTCAAAATTTGTAGCAGTGGCATCAACCTCACAGGAATATTTTTTACATCAGTTTAATATAATGATTAAGTAATATAACAACGAGTCGTATTGACAGTCAGCTTCCTTATCAAAATGAATCCGTCAAATAGACAGGAGCAGGATAAAGATTTAACATTTTCTGCATTTAAAAACCTGATGAAGGCAACCTAGTCACTAAAGTAGAGGCCAGATAAATTTCCCCTTTTTCTGAGGGTTTTTAAATCACAATTTCCTACTTCCAAGGACTTGTCATTATATGTAGGTTGTTTGGAAGCAAAGTGCAGGAAAGGAACAGCATTCTTGCCATTGCATACTGAACTACAGAGAGTCTGAGAATGGCTCCTCTGACTGAAGGCTTGAACAGACTCATCATGGGTGTCTGAAACTCTTGTGTTTTATGATGTCATCCACTGGACATGTATAAGCAATCCTTTGGATACAGACTGCAAGCTAGGGTTTGCCTTTCCCAGAGAGGAGGAAGCTTATAGAAACACCATTAATTGTGTCACTGTTTGCTTTATGTATGTAGCTGAAACCCTGTCAACTTGCTTGACATGATTTCAGTATTTTGGGTACCTAACATCAGTACTGGATCTAGTACATGCTGTCATAGCCATTGTGTTGAATAAAACAGTGATCCCAAAGACCTGTGCTTTTGAGTAACCAAGAGACCCTGAAGACTAGATGGCAAATTAATGAGTTATGTGTATTTACTGTATTACATACAGTTAATTGAATAAATTAAATGCAAACTTCAAATATTGCTTATAAGCAATATATATGTATATATCACTATATATAGTAATATTTTGGTAAGCCACTCCTCTCCCCTCACCTTTTCAATATTCCATTGCTTATGTTGTGTGGTTTGAATAGTTGTATGGGATCAAGGGAAACCAGGTGAACTATGTGAGGAAATTAGTGAACAAAATATTGATGCAGAACTAACAGATTTTCTGCAAGTAACTATTTTTCCTTTAGAAAGCCATTGTTTCATGTCTCTGGAAATAAAAATATCTGCAGGCGAAAGTCGTAGCCTCACACATCCAAGTGTGAAACTTCAAAAATAACTTTTGTAAGGTTTACAGTATTTCTTAAGACTTCCTTTTTGTTTTGTTTGTCATTAAACTCCCCAGTGGCACACCTCGGGGGGAAAAAATGTAGATAAACAGAACCTTTTTTCAGTAGGAGCTGTTAAAAAAGTGACTTCCCCTGCTCTTTCCAGCTGTTGTAACACCGCATCCCTACACATGGCCTTTCTCGGACTGTGGACACAGCAATATCAAGTTACTGAAAACGCAGAAGTAAACAGCTGAATCCTGCATTCCCTTGAGACCTAGCCCTGCACCATCCGAGTCACCAAAAAGCTTGCTGCTGACCTCAGGATCAGGGCTGAGCATTCCCTGTATGGAAACAAGAATGATGCAATATTTACTGCAATTCAAGCTTTGGTACAGTGCATTAATTAAAAGTAACACTGTTGCACAGTTACTTGTTCCCATAAGTGTCTAACAAAGTGTTCTTTGTCATGTATTAAATTTTGAGCCCTTGGATCGATATATGATGACAGTTTAAGCTGTAAGCAATGCATCCCAGATACAAAGGACTTGGGTTCCTTTCTCTAGTCCTTTCTGTCTCCTGTTTTTTCTCAAGTCTGTGAGATTAGGGACATTGTTACCTAAACCATTATCTAAAAGAAGGAAGTTGATCAGATATTTTAAAGCTTCCTTTTCACAGACAAATTTCTGTGAGCTTTCAGGATTTTATGTCATGAGTTAGACACTGCTAAGCCAAATGGCATCAAAGGTAAGAGTTTTCTGGACTTTTTTTCTTTGCTTTTTAACTTGTGATTAAAAGATCTATGGCTCAGTGGTGGCTCAGCCATGGACTTCATCAAGAAGAGCAGTAACTCTTAGAGAATGCTGAAAGCATTTCCACATCTTACCATATTATGCTTGTTATTGATGCTTGCTTTTTATTTTTGTTTGTTTTGGATACTCACTTACTTTCTTTAACAAATGTTTCTCATTGCTGAAAACAAGAGCTATAGAAGGTTCAAAATCTAAGAGACAAACAAGAAGATTTTAATAGGTAATATTTTTTAAATGTTTTCCTTTTTAAACTGCTCTAGTGATGACATGAGTTTTGACTCATTATTTTTAAACTCTTGGGATTCCTAATACTGAATGGGAAAAAACCTATTCTTGTTCTATCAATTTTTCCATAAAACCTCTGGTTCCAGCATAAGTATATACAACAACCATGAGGCAGAGTTTTGCTGGGGTTCCTGGTTCCCTGTTGGTGTTTGACCCGTTCTGTTTGGAATTAAAACAGTGTGGGCCACCAGGCTGACTCTCTGAGAGCCCCCTACCCCTCAGGAACTCTCAGCACATGGAGACCTCAGCCACAACACGTCGTGTTACCTGTCACTCCCAGCAGTGCTGGTCAAAGCAAACCAGAGATGTACTGTGGCCTTCAGGACTTTTTCTTTCTACAGAGGAATAAGTGTAAAAATATTGAGATACAAACCACAAGGTAAAGCAAAAATAGGATATTTCACATACTGGAGAAGTACTCCCATATTAATATCAGGGCCAGTGGAAAACTTGGCTTGGTCCTTTGTCATTATTGCCCCACCTATGGAAAACAGCAGAAAAATGTGGAAACACTGAGTAAGAATGAACTGCTGAGTGTCCTTGTGTTTACAGTTTGGCAAAGAAAAGTGATACAAAATAAGTCCTCCCCCCACTCCTCCTTACTTTATTTTTAATGCTTCCTCTTTTATTCTTTCTTCCCATTTCTCTATCTGTGTCTCTCTCTCATGTTTATTTCTCTTTGCAAAAAATCCTCTCCTGTCTTACGTTAGGGTTTTGGGGTTTTTTGTGTGTGTGGAGCGACATACTGGCGTATTTCATACCCACAAATATGTTATTCTATTTTAATAAATAAGAACCAAACATAGTTACCTAGAAGTGCCTACTTTCT